CCTCCCTCTTTTTCTTTCATTTCATTTTTTTTTCTTTTTTTTTTAATAAAATAAACGACGTCTTCGATCGTCTTTCAATTTCTTTTCTTCTTCTTCTGAAAATATCAACGAATCGATAAATGGCATCTATTTAAATTACACTTTAAACGATTTTCTAGATCACATAGTTCTCTTTTTTTCTTCTTCTTCGTAAATCTTTTGTACAATAGTTTGAGGATTCCATTTAAATGTCAACGAGAGACCCGATTCTTGATATTTTCTATGCTCGTATCACTTGTTTCTGCTTCTCCCTTTCCTCCTTCCATCGTTTTCCCCGGTTTTTTTCACCTCTCCTTCTTCATCTTCATCTTGCTTAACGCAGTAGAGTGCTACACACACACGACAGTATCATCTCGTTTTAAAAAAATTCTTATCCGACTTTACACATGACTTATATATTTACAACAATAAACTGAGAAGATGGCCTTCCATGGAGATCGTCCAACTTGCGACTAAATCGACGAGCTTTCCAAGCTAGAAACTTATTTCTTGTTCGTTTCCATTTTGTTTTTCTTTCTTTTTCAAAGACACGAATTCAAAAAAGAAAAAAACCAAACGTAAACACACAGAGAGAGAGAGAGAGAAAAAATGAACGTTCGATCGCGCGTGTAACAATGAAAGACAAAAATTCAAAGCGATTCGAATCTCGCTAAGAAATACCAAGTACGCGACGAACGAACGAAAACAAAACATTGAACAATTTCTACGAAAATGAACGAACAGCTTCGATACAACTAAGAGAAAACAGATTTCGAATCCAACGACGAAACTACGATAAAAAAAAAAAAAAAAAAAAGAAAAAAAAAGAAAAACTTTCGCAAACTAACACTGACACACGCGTTTTTGTTTCTCGTATTTAAAAAATAAACATTAGCCGATTAACCGAGCAGAAAATATATCGATGCTAAAACAATAAAACGAAGCGGCTCTCAATGTTCCCCTTGGTATGCCTCTTCCGAAATATTATTCTCAAGAATCCTCCCTCATCCACGAAATTTTCACCCTTCGTACGGTTAAATTGCCCCCTCGCATTCTTTCGCGATAATCATTCAAAGACACGACTACCTTATCAAAACCCTTTAAACTTATACCTTGCATTCGCAAACAACGATCTTACTGTACTACAAAAAATCTTTCTCTCGACTTAGCCATTTTCATTTTACAACCTTCTTTATGTCCTCTCGAAATGATCGTTCTCAACAAACGTTCCTTCTCTCTGTCAAAAAATCAAAAAACAAAAAAAAAACCCTCTCCTCTTCCAACTGTGGTACCTTCTCCAAAAAAAAAAAAAACAAAGTCTAACGATCAATGGCCACTCTGTTTTCCTTTAAAATATACTACATCTTTCCTCTCCCAAAAAGAAATCCTGAGAAATGATTTAGGAATTTTTGGAATTTTTCCCGCCAAAATCTGGTCTCCGTTAAACCTCTGCGTGTATGGGACTAGGTGAGCGGAGCGACGGGCAGCAACCCCATGGAAAAAGCCACGTACTTCAGCTCCTGGGTGAGAATTTCGGGTTGGTAGGACCGTGGATGTAGCTCTGCAGTTCCTTTGGTGACTCTGACCCGAAGTCCGACGCCGTGTCGACGTCGGACTTGCGACAAATAATCATACGAATGTCCGTATGCAAGTAAATCCGGCCAGTCTTGCCAGACATAAATCTGCAACGAAACGTTTCGTTTCAACAGCTGCACGTTCACCAGAGCACATTCTCATGCATGCAGGAGAGTTGAAGATGGAGATAGGTTCGAAGGCAGGATCGTTGAAGCTTTTCATTTGGTTAGAGATTAGCCGTGGAAAACGTGGGGAACGAGCAACACGTGGAATAGCAGAAATTCTAACAAATAGTCCAGGAACATTTCATAGACGTGAAAAAAGAAACATATCAATAATTGTGGCTTCTAAGTGGTAACAGTGATAAAATGAATATATTTCGTTAGTTAGAAATGAGAAGCCTCGATTATTGCTAGGAACACTGGTTATGAAAGCTTTAAAACTTTAATCAATGGAGAAGAGAAGCGTATCTCTTCTTCGGTAGATTTGTTAATTAAAATTTCAAAGTTTACAAAGTGGACAAAATTTGAACACATAGAGATGTACGCACCTAAGATGTACGAGGTAGCGTAGTGTTTTGTCCCGCAGTGTTCTCTGACGTAAAAAAGTATGAGATCGTGGTGGCATATCAGAAAGATCGTATAGTACTACGAACATCTTAACGACTGTACCCAAGGGATTGAGAAGCGTTACTTGTATAGTACCGCTTCTTGGTACTTGGTAGCCCCGTTTGCCCAAATTAATATGTGCCTATGCAAAAGGTAACAGGCACTTCATCAAATGTTCCGTTACAACTCTAGATATACAATTCAAACAGAACAAAAAAGAAGAAAAAAATCTTCAAAAATCATGAAAGAAAGAGAAAAAAAAACACACATACAAGAAAATTGGAGGCAACAACAACAAAAAAATTACTAATTCTTAGTGGTTCTTGGTAAAAGTGAAAAAATCAAAAAACAAAATGTATAATATCTAAGAAAGTAAAAGGAGGATGCGTTGATTGTACGTACGAGATAGGGCGTAGAAACTTTGTCATTGTCGCCGAGCGTGTAGAAGAACACAGTGACTGGAAGCTTTCGATGTTTCGGACAGAAGGAACCACTCGCGCCCAATTCCGCTGTGAAACCGTGAACCGTCGACACTGGTTCGAGTCTACCGTTCAATGCTGATTCCTCGAAGTTGCCTAGAAGAGCGTGACCCTGGGGTCTGCTGCGAGAAGACGAGCGTCTCTTCGGTGTCTCTCTGTCAGTCTCCTCCAGCGACACTGCGCCTGGACTCGGCGGTGTGTTCAATTCGAACAATGCGCTGGAACAATAAAATCTCTTCGCATAAGTATCCTCTTCCCTTCGAGAATCGTATCGGGCGTTTAGAATTTCTATCGTACCTTCTCTTCGACGAGACGGAATTCAAGCTGCTATCGTAATCGAAGCAACAGCTGCCTCTTCTCAACGGTGCCGGGCTAGAAGTCAACGGTAAACCGGTTCTACTATGGAACACCATCGAAGCTGCGTTCTCCAGAGATCGTCGAAATCGTTCCTGTTCAACGGCGGTCGGTACCGCCTTGTCCACAGTTTCATCCTCTTCCGTACCGACGTTATCCTTTCCACCGTTTCGAATCTTGGCGGACGAGTAACTACCGCTACTCTTGCCAGGACTCGAAACAGGATCCTTGCGTAATATCGACCTGGTTCCTTCGTCTTCCTCCTTATGTTCCACTCTGCTATCATCGTCGTTTGTACTATACAACCTGTTCTGCCATATAGACGTCCCAACGTCGTCGTAGCCATTATCCTCCTTGTAATTTGTACTATAGGTTCTTGAGTTTTGATGTGCGTCATTTGTACTAAGCTCTGAAGGGTCGGGGCACGCCTCACGTTTCTCCGTTTCCTCGCTGAAGTTCGAGAAGTCTATCCTCCTCTTCACCTTGTTGTCCCTCCGGTTCTTTGGATCGTGCAGATTCAGCTGGACGTTGTTGTACGAGTACGAACGTTGACCTGATTGTTGGACAGGATCCTGCGAACTGTCCTCCACGGTCGAGGTCGTTTTCTTCTCGTGCTCCTTCTTGAAGAGCTGCCTGAATCGATTGAACCCCTTGTTCAACGACATAGGAAGAGATTTCTCGTCCTCCGATAGTACAGTTCTCTGTTCCTGTTGCACCTTCTCGTTAGCTACGTTGTTGTTCCGTTCGTTCTCCGTCTCGCTGATAGACGCTGACAACACGGACCTCGACTTGGTCCCATTCGACACATCGGACAGGTTCCGTAGGTCTTTGCTGGTTCGTAAAATTGCTCCCAATAATATATCCGCCTTGTTCGACATGTTCTGCAACGAGTCTACGGCCTCGTTCGTTCGTTTCTCCGAGTTATTGCATTTAATCGCTTGCAGATCCTCGTTCGATCCTCCGTCAAGTTTCTCCCGTTTCTGGGCGGGATTGTAAGTGTTCTTATTGCCATAGATCTCAGCGTAATTGGTCTTCTCCAAAGATTGCTGGTCGTTCTTCCTGCATAGCTTGTGGCTGCAACCCTCGCAGGGTTTCGAACGGTTCACAATGTTGTTCGTCGAGCACTCGTTGTTCTCCAAATTCGTGTACTTAATCAAAGACTTCTCCGTACCACTTTCCGCCGATTTCTCCAATCTTTCCCGCCTTCTCGCGGTCCTGACGTTCGATCTCTTGCGTTCAGACGGTGTCCTGTCTCTGAGGACGGCCAGGACCTCGTCGAACTCCTGCTGACTCAATTCCAAGTCGCAATTCTTGAACCTCACCTCGTTTCCATGTTGCTGCTCTTGACTCTTCAAGTTCGTGGCCTTCACCTTAGTGTCCACGTAGCCGTTGTTCGGTGCCACGCCTAGAACTCTGCAGGGAACCTTGCTGAACCAATCGAGGAAACCTCCTTCCTCCTTTGACCTGTCTTTGTCATCGGGAAACGACAGCTTCGAGATCAACTGGCTCAGATCTTTGCCCGATTTCGTTTTATTGTTGGCCCCACAGTCCAATTCAGACTCCATCACTTCCTGTCCAGGACGCACCGTTTCGGGATTGGACAACTTGTTCGAGGATTTAGGACAGTTCTGGTGGGCCGTACAGGGGAAGTTCATGGACGCCTGCTTCAAACGATTATTCGTCGACGGGCCTGGATTTGACTCGTGAAAAGGACTAGGTTGCCTAAACGGATTGATCACCACGTTCGAATCTTTGCACGCCGGTGGCTTGTAGGTCCTCTCGAAGTCGTTGAAATAACCCTCCTTGGTTCCGCGCAGATTCTGAAAAGCACACTTCCAATTCCCGTTACCATTGTTCCACGACTCGACGAAAGACCAAGGTAGCGAGGAGTTGAAGGGTATCAGATTCTCGAACAGTCCTTTCTTCTCCGTGAACTTCATATCTGCCTCCTTCTGCTTCTTCTCCAAGTTGCACTGCTTCTCCTTGTAGTTCAGGATCAGCTTCAATTCCGGATCCTCGATCGTTCGCTTGTAACGCTTCTCCAAGTTCCCCTCTCGTTCGTCGATGTTCAACTGAGTCTTGAAACAGCGCTCCAGATTGTCAGAGTTCAGATTATTGCGATTCCTGATGGCGTTCTCCTCGAGTTTGCAGCTCTGGCTCTGCACATGCTTCACCACACGGTTGTTTGCGATCTCCGAGGAACATTTCGGATAGCTCGAGCTGTGATTGTCCTTCGATTCGTGCGTCACAGCTTCCTGCACCGAGGGCAGAGGCGCAGATTGAACTGTCGCGCAGCTATTGGCATCCGTGGGACCGCAAGGTAGAGACCTACGACGTTTCCTCTCGCGATTCTGTCGCGGAATGGCCGGCGACGGCGGTGAAATATCCTCCTCCTCGCACGGACAATGGTGTTTCCCTGGCTTGTTGCACGGTGTTTGCAGTCTGTCGTCCACCAAAGCTGTTCCAGAAAATCACATTTGTTTCGCGGCGCATTCAGGATTCGTTCTTAATTAAATAATCCTTCGAGCATCAGCTTCGCTAATTTATTACTATTAACTTATTTTAACAAAGAGACATTGAAAAGATACTGCTCATAAGCTGACTAATTAAAAACGGGCACAGAGAAAAAGAGAGAGAGAGAGAGAGAGAGAGAGAGAGAGAGACATAGATGTAGAAAAAAAAAAAAAAAAAAAAAGATAATGGTTGTAACGTAAAAGGTAAAAAGAATGATAGATCAGATGAGTACCAGAATGAACACAAATTCAGACACATGAAGGTGATACTCGAAACGTCGAAATATCACGTCGTTCGAATCCGATTCCCTTCAATTACCAGGCAAAACGAGGCCCTCGGGATTTTGCGGGCCGCTGGGAACCGTGATCGCCTTGGTGGGTGTCAAAGCCCTCGCGACACCCTCCTCGTCTTTCTCTTTGATTGGGTGCATCGGGCAGGTGAGAATCGGCACCTCCTCCATCCTCGGCAGTGCCCACACGGTGACCTAAAATTTACACGAGAAATCCTCTTCAGCTCCATTAAATTGCAGTGACGGTACTCTCGAACGAGATTGGGTAGCCGGTGTGACTCATCTGCTGGTTAAAAGTAGGCATTCGTTAGTGTCCTCGAACCACCAGAATAGAACCGTGGAAGGTACTCCGTGTAACGAGTGGACCGAACAGAGCGAACCACCATGCAGAAATTACATGGACGGCTCGAGGAACATTGACCTCGCCTTTATCGCGAGTCAAACGCGTCATTTCGAGCGTTCCCCGCGAGCTGTGGCTTGCCAGAGAATCCCTTGGATCGATTAAGCGCGTCTATCTTCATCCAAACGAGCTTTCATAAACGTTTTAACGCGAATAGACAATTAGCAAAGCGAGACTTTTTCTGTATATTATGCATGTTATTCAACGAATCAATCATGCTGCAGATCGTCCGAAAAGAAAACAAAACAAATGAAACAACAAGACGATGGAAATTGGAAATAATTTGTTCACTTTCCAATGGATGACAATGTTCCTGATTTTCTTTTTCATTTTTTTTCTTTCTCTTTATTGTTTTTTAGGTAATTCCAAAGGATGGTGAAAAGTGAATAGAACTGTGTTCTTACCTTGATGGAATTTCCATCGCCATTGCCAGCCAAGGGGAACGTATGCTCCACGGGTGCTTCCCGGAACTTCCTTAGGTTCTCCTCGTTATAAGGTACCACCCTGGTTGCAATGTAACTAGGATCGGCGCCATTGCTTCTGGACCACCAAGCGGCGACCTGGCTGAAGTGTAGCCGTGAACGGACTGCCTGATACAGCCCGTAGTAATTCATGGTCTCTGGGCTCCTATGAATCGTTAATCAATACGACAAACGTTTACACCAGGACATTTTCGCAAGGATTCTCGTTAACAAAGACTCACTTGCTGGAAACGATGCAGATGCACCAGTACTCCAGCAACATCTCCGACGCGTGTTGCCATGGCGAGATCGATAAGGACGGCACGGTGCTGATCGGATTCTTGTTCGTGGATTTGGTCGAGCCACACGGACAATCGCTGCAAAGGACTACCTCGATGCAGAGGAACGAGCCAATCGCTATACGGTCCGCGATCTCCCGAACGAGCACAAGATATCGATCACACTGCACAGATCGCGTTCAAGAGACACGGATGAAAAGGAGAAATCTTGCGGAAAAGTTCGTTAGTAGAATATTTCGTTGAAGAATTTTGTTACCAAGTAATTATCTTCATCGCACACGTGGTCTTTAGGCGCCGCCTGCATAGGCGCTGCGCAGTGTGGGCCCTCTTTGTAGCCACGTGGAGGGCCCTGAATCCTCCCTTCGCACACAAGAACTCCAAGGGCTCGGAACACGCTAAGAATGCCACCCCGACCGCCAACCCCATTTGGGCTGGGAATGCCTCCTGTCACCGCACCTAAGCAGTGCATGCCTGCAACGAAAAAATTGAAGAAACACTTACGATAAAAGGATACCGAGGAAGGCGGGAAATCGAAACGGTACGAAACGATCGACGATCGAAGTTGGACAGGGATTAGCAGAGAACACGAACCTGTGCGCGCTCTCCTTCTGTGGAAGCAATTTCCAACGCACTGCAACAGGATCGTCGACATTTTCGAGAGGCGCTCTCAGGGGAATGAAAACTGGAACGATGCGCGCACGAACTCCGTTATCGTTAATCTCAAACGCGACAGATCATACCTCGAAACCTGGGTACTTTTTCTCACGTCTTTATCGGTGAAACGAACTTTGCTCCTCGTTCCGGGCACATTTGTCACGGAGACCTTATGCGTCATCTCTTCGTGAATCACAACGTGACTAAATAAAACCTCTACGCTTGTTTTTTCTTCCATACACTTCCTGTTTGGCCGATTCATTTAGCTCGATTGAGCTTCGATTCGCGGAATTCTCGAAATTCTAAACGGCTGGGGCGAAAGTCAGACGAGCTGAAAATCGCACTTGTAAGGTAGCGAGATATGACGGACAGGCTTTCGTACGGTTTTCTCGTTTCTTTTCGACCTGACATCCGATCCGAGATTTCGTCGTCCGTCGTCCGTCTTCTGTCGGTCATTATGTAAAGGTGAATACGCAGGAGGGCGATGGGCATTATTTATAACTTTGCCCGCCGCCATATGCGGCGAAAGCGACCAACCGGATTGGCTTCCACGCTGCTTTCCTCCGTGCGCTTCAACGTTCGAGAGTAACGAACACGCTGGAATCGTTCGGTTCAGACATGTATCTCTCGACCGATGGAAAATCCTGAGAATTCCACGAGTCGAAGATCAAACGGATCTCGTGGAAAATTTCGTCGGTAAACTTGCGCCGGACCAGACGAGAGAGAGAGAAAAATATCTTGCCCAAAAGTGTTCTCCTTCGTATACTTACTTTCCAACTACCGTGAGCCAATCGCTATTCCTGGCTGTTCAGTTCAGCCAGGCGAAATCTCTCGATACATGGAGTATTTTAAAATTTTGTAAAAATTCGAAGAACTTGCTGGTTAACTGCAATTCCTGGCACGTGTGCCAACGAAAATAAACGAGCGAACTTTCGTATCGCGAAGAAGTCGCTGTTCGACGATATCCATCTTGAGAAATTGGTCCGATCGTGGAAGATGTACATCGCAGAGAGAAGAACTGCGACGTTGAAAAACAGAAATAAAAGATATTGGTAAAAGTCGAGCAGAAATTTCGCAGACGATAACACTCGGGTAAACTTTCAACCCCCGCCGTAACAATTTCACCCTTTCACCAAGCGTACGGTTAGTTTGGTAAGCGGAGGAGACGATTAGTCCGCACTTTAGCCCCGACTCGCGATTAGGCGACGCGAAAAGTTGCAGAGAGCGGAGGAGCTGGTGTGTTCGCACGATGAGGAATTTGAATAAAGAACTGCGCGCGGCTTTCACGTGTGTCGACGGTCTGTGTGAGAGGGAGAGCTTGTGGGGCTCCACACGAGGGTGATCGCACTCGGGTGTCATGCGCAAAAAGTTCAACCCTTCGCCGAGTCCTTTGAGAGACGCTGTCAGGATTAAGAGGCAACCTCGGCGTACAGATACAGTTTCCACGTGAACAACGAACAATTTTTCAAAAAACAGCTTCACCTTACGATCGATTTAACGAAGGATTTATTCGACGAAAAGAAACGTCAATTTTAATCAGTTTCTAATTATATTTTTATTACGATAGCGGTCGTGGAAATTGCTCGGCGAATTAAGATCTTTCTCCGATAAAATAGCTATCTATTGCCTCGAGTGTGATCAGGGTCTCAGAACAATTTATCAGGGACAAAAAAAAGTAGCTTTATACCGCTTCTAATCGCATCGTCCGCTAGTCTGGAACAGCGGATAAGCCGTTGCTGAAATCCAGTTAGCGTCGGGTACTGTCAGAGTTTTCCCGTATAATTAGTCGCTCTAAATTCAGTAAACAGCTGACCAGCAGACGAAACCGTGATTCCTGGCAAACAGCGATTCTTAAGCTGCCAGGCGCGGCTTCTTAAACGTTGCTCAGACGAACCTACGTCGCATAATCCGAAGATCGATCAAGGATGAAAAGGAGTCGTCATATTTCCAAGCTCTCCGGAGAGCGATATATGTATATCCGCCAGTTCCTTTCAACGAAAGAGAGAAGAACGTTGAAAAATACTCTCGCAAGGTTCGCAGCACTTTCTCCAGCTACGCGCTTTCGGTGCTGTCTAATTTGAAATAAGAGCGAAAGTACAGCGGAAAAGAGGATTGCAAGTTACGTTAGCGCCGTGTACCCGCGCACGAGGGTTCAAAGCACCTGCTGCATCTTATTCAAAGTTCGAGATGCAGCACGGTCGAGGAGCTTCGAATTTCGCGTCAAAGTGGATCTCTCTCCGGTGGCACGATCAAAGCAAGAGCGAGAAGGGTTTTCGGTTGGCGATCGGTCGATGGCAAACCGTTCGAACCTCGGGGAAGACCTTCGCGAAAGCAAAAGGGGAGAATAAAAGGTAGTGAGGTCGCCGAAGGTAGCCGAGGCGTCGCGGGAGACCGAGGGAAAGGGCGATGCGCTTCCGATGCAGGACGGTGTGAATGCACCGGCTACGGTCCAGCTGAGAAAACACCAGCTTCGTGGCGCCTGTATTATCCAGCCAGGGAGTAAACAACCAGGCTAGGAAAATCGTTCGATCCAACGTTACTTTCGCGACTCAAATCGCTTCCCTTCGCCCGATCGTCCTCTCCTTCCGCGCCACTTTCGCGAATTAAATCGAAATCACGACGATCATCATCGTCTTTTTACCGCTTAATTGCACCGACCTTCGCGCATTCCCCAATAAACATCGTTCGATCCAGAGCCTGGGAACTCGTGGAAGAATAGCTGGTTTGCGCTCGGAATACAATGGAGGAAGGAGAGGAAAAAAAAGAGAGAAAGTGGAGAAGGAAGCGCAGAAGAGCGAGCCTTTTCGATACACAATGCTCGTTACACCGTTGCAAAATTCTTCGCTGTGATGTTCCCCAACCGAGAGAACTCTTAGCTTGGAAGTGGAAGGAAGGTTTTGCAAGGCAGTCCAGCCGACAAACAGATAGCCAGAATTAGTCACTAAACGACTATCAATTATCACGATACGCGGTGCTTGGCTGTTGCAGAGCGAAATTGCTCGAGCATCTTGGCATCGAGTAAGCTACCAGAGAGTATTCGCGAATGTACGTATATACAAGATGTTGGAGAGCGCGAAGAAGAGGTTCGAGCGACGTTACTTCGAGACGATAAAGATTATCGAAGGAGAGCTGTTGATAGAAAAGACACTGGCGACTTTTATGCACTGCCTTCCACTGATGATAACGCGGAGACGCTTTCGTTTCTCTCTTCGGTGTATTGTAACATTTCGATGGGAGTTCTATCGGGAAGAAAGTATGCTATTTACCGATTAAATTATTTATATACAGACTCGCCTCGGTTTCTGTTCCCTCGAACGACCGGTCCATCTAAAATCGCGAATTTCTAGGTGAAGTAACGCGAATAACGCAAAGTGCGCATTAACTTCTCTGCATATAGGGTACAACGAAGCGTGAAATTTACGGTTGAAACGCGTGTGTAAACGCGTTAACAGAATTACACGGCTTCCGTGCGTCGCCTGGTAATTCTATTAAGCAAGAGCATTTTTTTTTTTTTTTCGGCGTTAATTGAACCGAGAGACTTCGTCTTCGTTATCAAAATGATCTCTCGACACAACGCGTAGATAACGCGAGCACGGACAGCTTGTCCTGGGTCAAGATCTCGCTGCTTGTAAATAACTGGACAAATACGACAATCACTTGTTGATTCGATCGAAATATAAATTATCGAAGATACGACATAGCGAGCTTGACCGAAACGAGTTTCGTTGAAATCGTCCGTCACAGGCACACAGACCGAAGGAACATGCGGTTGCCGAAATAATTGGTTCCAATCAGCGATATCCGGCTAAAGCCAGGGAGCGAATAAAACGCGAAATTATAGGTTCCCGGCTATGATAATCCATGGTGCGTTCGGCGACAGTAAAATCTGTTACGTCTGCGACGTCATTACGCCTTATTGCGTCCCCGGTGGTGTTGAATTAGAAAGCGTGTTTCAGCGACCGTGGATCGTTAGCGTTTCATTAACGAGAAACGGCTAAACTTTTTTTCCTCCCTCCTCAGCCGAGGGGCAATAAATGTGTCCGGCGATTTAACCAGCCACGGTTCACTTTTTCTCTCTCTCTTTTCAACCAGGTGGAAGCTGGCATAAAAAATGCAGAGGATCCACTAGCCGGTTCGTTGTTTCATTTCCATCGTTCTCCAGGCGCGTGTGCAAACTAAAAGCAGCAAAACAGCACAAAGAAGGGTACCCAAGCCGGTGCACGCCTCGCGTTTCCCTTTCATTTTGCACCGCGGGCCGGAAGCTTTCCGCGAAATTCAAGCGAAAGGAATCTTTCACGAGTCTACCCGGAGTAATTATAAGTCAGGGGAAAGAAAAGCAAACGAGCGAATTAAAAAGACAACTGCGGATATTTCTCTGGCTGATAATCATCTTTGGTTACGAGAGAAAGACGAAGAACAACGAAACGATAAAGCGTATATACAGGTACATGTGTAGGTACGAATTCTTTTCCTGACCAATCGCAGCGTGATTCGATCGTCGCGATATGCCTGAGTCTGCAAATTTCTTCCGTTTTTTCCAACGAAGACAAAGGCGTTTCGTAAATCACTCATCTAGACAAGTGCAACGTGACTCCAGAAGAGTAGCAGGAACGCGAGCTTATCACCTCTTGACCGGATGCATAATGCACGGGTGCACAGTGGAGTTTTTCTCACTGCAATCGCTCGTGTTTACACGCTCGATGAAGGAAATCATTGATCAGGACGAGGCCGTCTTCTGTTGCCACCGGCCCGTTACCAATTAGCTCGTTAACATGCCTCACAATAAGCTTGGCCGCGCTTCTGGACACGCACATCCC